GCCGAGAGCTGATTGCGGGGCAAATACACCTGCAAAATGGACCGCAGTCATCTGATGGAACTCAGCGAGTACAAAAGAACGAATGGGCTTTTATGAGACATGAGGCTGCTGCAATGCAATTTGTTTTTTTTAACGGCGTCGTGTGCACCGAAAATGCGCACGCGCATGCCATGCAATCTACATAAGTGACAAAACAATGCCAAGTACATCTCTCCGATCTTCCTTCCCTTCCCTTGGCCTGTCAACAGCACACACGTAATTATTCAGAGCCTCGAAAACGTCGCTGAATGTTGCTTCAGCTCTGATACAACCACGCCAAACGCCAACGTTTGACGTCAGATTACGCAATCCAGCGCTGACACGCACGGGGTTCTTTCGTACCGCACTAAATTGGTGGACGGCAAGACCCTCACAGATGGTTGCCATCAGATTTCCCACGGAATGGAACGAAGCCGTGCCAAACCTCAAACAAAGCCGCGCTGTCGCCGCACCGCCGGCCTCTGATTGGCGGAGCAGCATGCAAGCATAGAGACAAGGCCAACTATGCCGACTTCAACGCTACCAACAGACCATCTTTCGAAACGGCATTCAGGAGCACAGTGCGTTCCAATACGTTAATGCGTTCTAGACTGCGGCGATGTCTCGGCGAAAGGCGACGTCCCACTGGGGCCTGCAGTACGCTCGGAGCGGGTCGGGGTGGGTCGCGGTGGATCGTCTCGGAGTGGGTCGGGGTGGGTCGCAGTGGGCCGTCTCGGAGTGGGTCGGGGTGGGTCGCGGTGGGTCGTCTCTGAGTGGGTCGGGGTAGGTCGTCTCAGGGTGGGTCGGGGTAGGTCGTCTCGGGGTGGTCGGCGTAGGACGCCTCGGGGTGGGTCGCTGTGGGTCGTCTCGAAGTGGCTTGGAGTGGGTCGCGGTGGGTCTTCTCGGAGTGGGTCGGGCTGGGTCGGGGTGGGTCGTCTCGGAGTGGGTCGGGGTAGGTCGTCCCGGGGTGGGTCGGGATGGGTCGCGGTGGGTCGTCTCGAGGTGGGTCGGGGTGGGTCGTTCGCTCGGGGTGGGTCGAGATAGGTCGTCTCGGGGTGGGTCGAGGTAGGACGCCTTGGGGTGGTCGCTGTGGGTCGTCTCGAAGTGGGCCGGGGTAGGTCGTCTCAGGGTGGGTCGCTGTGAGTCGTCTCGGAGTGGGTCGGGGTAGGTCGTCTCGGGGTGGGTCGGGGTGGGCCGGGGTGGGTCGTCTGGGGGCAAGACCCAGCTGAGGGCTTACCTTGATGCGGATCTTGGCGTCGGCCAGCGGGTTGTGCGGCGCCGCTTTGGTCCGCCGGCTCGGGGGCTCGTTCAGCTTGTTCTTCGGCACGATCCGAAGAGCGGTGGTGTCAAGCGTGCCTGGAGCGCAGCGGGCGGCATCTCAGCCGGAGACGGTACAGAGCCACTCAGTCACGACCCGCAGGGCGCAGGGGCTAGCGTACAAGCGACGCCGGCTGTGCCGTCTTCAATGCCACCAACAGATAACCCTTGGGAATAGCATTCATGAATACAGAGGTGCACAGGGACGACCTCCGGGCAGCGGCGAGTCGTGCTCCACGTCCAAGCCCAGCCTGTGGCGGGAGTGCAAACCTGCTCCGCACAGGTGGCTCCGTGTGCATCGCGGGTTTATTGGCGTCACCTTGTGGAGGTGGCACCTTAGCGAGACCTTAGTGGCACCTTCACACGGTGGCAACAAAAGATGAAGTGGCCCAGTGCTGCGAGATTCGGTGATATCCTTTGACCAGGATTCCTCCCTCGCCCAGCGCCATTTTGAGCACAAACACGCAAACTGCCGCTGGCTCACAATACAGCTATCAAGAATGCTTTCAACTGGATTTGTGCAGATTACCTCTCATAGGTTTTTGTTCACGAAACACTCAAAATTATTGCGGCCTTGAGACACCAGGAAAACAAAGTATTTGCGTTACGAACAGTTTCGTCTACGATTCGCCAAGACATACGTGAGACTAGGTGCAGACCTTTCCAAGTAAAAAATCCCTCCCCAAGCAACATGAGAAAGTACGAACCGCAGGAATTCGCGGACACTGTTTAAGGTCCCTGCAAGACGGCACTGCCCATCACGACGTTTTCTTGCAATATGCTACAACGACTCTCACCACACCGTGCGTTTCATTGCGGCGTGAAAAATGCATGCAAGACAATGAGTGTCTCCTCGCACCATGGCAGCGGCCTCTGCAACATATAAAACCCTGCCGGCGAGTGCAGAATACTGGCTTTCGTCATCCCACTCTGCGAATTGCTGCCTATGCCGTCAATTGACAGACGAGACAAGAGATCGCCAACAGCTCTTGCATAATTTATTTGCAGAGGCGGACCCCTTGGGGCCGCCGTCGCCGATGACGCTAATGGTTCGGCCGACAGACACGACCTTGTCAAGGTCGCGCGCCTCCGTCGCTGGTGACGCAGTCTGTTCACACACCGATCACGGCGCATCAAGAGACTCGCAGACGACAAATGAAGGGAGACCGGCGCAGACCGACGCACTGGGAAGAGACGATAAAAAGGTCAAGGGTTCTTTTGAGCCTCGGACGCCACCGTGAAAAGCTGACGCCTCTTCACTAACATCTTCAATGGCGAGGCAGGACAAAGCCGAAGGCGAACATGGCGCCCGAACATGATGCAGCACAAGTGAAGCCATGCGCCTACGGACGGCGCACGCGACTGCCGGGAGGTTGCACCATACCTATTGGTGTGCTGGGCTTGTAGCTGAGGCAGCTGTGGCTCCGGTCGGATATGACCTGGATCACGTGACCCCCAGGGCTGATTTTATTGGCCGTTGTGACCTGGATGAGGAGGTCCATCATTGGCGTGCTGCGGAAACATAAGCGCACAAGGTCAGCGGAAGGGCACGGTGCCAAAGGGTGGCGGCTGACACCGTACGACACCAGCGACAGAAAGAACTGAGCTGCATAGTAATGCTTCACTTCAAAAACGGGTGAGTATATTGTTGCTGGCAGGCCGTGATATGGCCTTCACAGTACACGGAATACAATGAACTTAAGAATTTACGCAACAATTACGCCACAATTGACAAGTGATTGTTTCTGTCGATTCAGCAGCAACGTTAACGAGGCGTGCTTCAACGCCAGTTGATCGCAGAGCCAGAAGTCCCGACGGGCCGCCTCTTATGACCGCGTTGTGCGGGCCAGCAAAACCAGCCTTGATGGTCGGCTCGAGAATGCCATGTGGACAAAAAAGTAGATTCATACTTGCGGTTCGGAGCGTGGTCTCGTGTATATATGTATGTAAACTGAAAATCCGGCTTCGATTTCTTTTCAAAAATTGGCTATTGCATTGTGGGATGCAACGTTCTGGGTTTGATGAAGAAAACCGGCATAAAACTGCTGTTTCTTCTCAGGATACATTGACAATGCATAGTCGTACGAAAAAACCGGTAGCGCACCTCAGATTATATCGGCAATACACAGCCCTTTGTAACCTGTTCTGGTCCATGAAACGTTCCGACACTGCCACAAAATTATTTGTGACATTGAACATGCCGGCCAATTCAACTTTGTGACAATGCAGATTCGCATAAATCATTCAAATCAGCTTACATTATTTCAAAGCAAAAGACCGGACTCTGTGGTCATGGTCCAAGGCAGTTGACTGCATTGCACCAGTAATCCCCTGGTCGCCGATTTGATGCAAGAGAGATGTCCGCAGAGCTAAGTCACTCCCCGTCATACTTCAGTAATCAAGAGTTGGGTCACTCCCCCAGTCGTCACTTCAGTTCCGGGTCCCGCCCGTGCTCGATATCCATCCCCGTACCCATCCCAATCCCAACCCAAATCCAAATCCCAATCCCAATCCCGGTCCCGGTCCCGGTCCTGGTCTATCTTGAACACATGCCCAGCCCAGTCCCAGTCCCAGTCCCAGTCCCAGTCCCAGTCCCAGTCCCAGTCCCAGTCCCGTCCCAGTCCCAGTCCCAGTCCCAGTCCCAGTCCCAGTCCCAGTCCCAGTCCCCAGCCCCAGCCCCAGCCCCAGCCCCAGCCCCAGCCCCAGCCCCAGCCCCGGTCCCGGTCCCGTCCCCGGCCCTGTCCCAGCTCCAGTCCAAGCCCCGGCCCCGCCCCGTCCCCGGCCCTGTCCCAGCTCCTGTCCAAGCCCCGGCCCCGGCCCCGTCCCCGGCCCTGTCCCAGCTCCAGTCCAAGCCCATCCCCATCCCCATCCCCAGCGCCACCCCCAGCCCCCAGCCCCAGCTCCAGCCTCAGCGCCACCCCCAGCCCCAGCCCCAGCCCCGCCGCGCCGTTGGCTCACCCGCGATCCACGCTGATGCGGCAGTGGCGGCCGTCTGGCAGCAGCACGCTCAGGCTCATCTGTCCCTGCAGCATGTCGGCCGGCGTGTCCTCGGTGACGGCGTGCGCCGGCAGCTGGCTCGCGCTGCCGCGCCGCAGCGGCGGCGGCGCCATCAGACGACTCAGGTCTGGACTGAAAACACGAGGCACCCGCGAGGTCAGGCGCCGCTTGAAATCAGGCGAGCCCCGAACTGAAGCGAAGGGAAGCATCATCAGTCATGGAGCCCGGGGACATTGCGTCAGCTTCGTTAATCAAAACCTCGCAGGTTACACTTCCAGTCGGACAACACTGTAATGGGATAACACTTTCTACACGTATTGGCACTTACACCCCAATCAAAGCACCTTGATATGTGCCCCATAGATCGCATGGCAGATGCAGCCTGTTTCCACTACCAATGGACGACTGTGCGTCCGTCTGTTAACAGGGTGTGCCGAACCAAACGCCATCGGCTCCAGGTGCGTAAAAAAACCACACTGGATAAGCAACACCAGCGTATCATCAGCAGCGGTGTAGATTAGGCAGCTGTGTCCTTGCAAGGTTGCCTTAAGAGCCACCGGACAGGTCCACACATGGGCATAAGCCCCTCCTGTTAACTAGCAGCCGGGACCATGTTTTGACAACGTCATCCTGCCGGCGGCGGCGGCGGCGGCTCCGGCCGGCGTGTCGCCGTCTCCTGGCGCGGCCTCGCCTGTCCGGCGGCCCGCCAGATCTGGGCAGGGCTCGTGCGGCTTCCCATACACGGAAGCTCCGCAAGCTGGCGCCCGCGGCGGATCAGGCGGCGGACGGCCCAATCTGATTACAGCGGCGCCACCGAGCCGCGGCTGGAGACGGCGCGAGCCCCGCGGAGTGCCCGTGGCCACGCAGCGCCTGGGCCGCCCGGACGGGCTGACAGACGGCCAGTCAGGCTGGGATGCGAGCCGTCAGGCTGACAGTTGGCTGCGGGTGGAATGTCGGGGTAGTGCCCACACGCGGAGGTGCGGACAGGGGCGGGGCGGGACGGGGCGGGGGCGGACGAGCGGACGCCGTTCAGCTGGGCGGACAGGGGTGTAAGCAGGCCGACGGGCGGGTAAGAGAAGTGGTAGAGGCGGGCCGACACGAACGGACGTCGACAGAGGGTAGACGGGCGGACAGGAGGGCACGCTGACGGACACAGGAACGACAGGGGTGGACAGCGAGACACGCGTGCGGACGAGCAGACAAAGAAACAGACAGGAGGCAACTGGAAACTGAGCGGGTCGCCGCCCGACGTCTGACCGCGCCTCGCGACGAGCGGCGAGGCGTGGACAAACACGCCGCGGAGACACGCGGAGCCGGCACCCCCCCCCCCCCGCTGCCAACCTGCAGCCGCACCAGCCCAGCACGTCCGCTGCCGGCTCAAACGCTTCGCAGCGCCGCCTTCTGCCGGCTCATGTCCGCGATTTACAGGGCTCGAAGCGGCGCTGACGAACATTCCACCGATCAACAGCTGGTGGCGTCACGTGTGGCGTCGGGTAATGGCCGGAGAAAAAGGGGCGTTCTCCTCGGTGTTTGGCGTGCCGGCGGAGGTCACGTCCAAGGTCGAAGCGGCAGACGTGTTGGCAGCGGCGGCAAATGCAGCCGCCCCTGGTCTGCACCGCGCAAACCGAGCGGCGACTTGCATTTTCTGGTGCACTGGGCCGAATGTCCGGAGCATTGTGAGCCTAAAATCGGCCTTGACCATTTTCCGACAGGTATATCTGCTTCCCAATAGAACCGCCCTTTCATACAAAATGCGACCTTCGCGAAAAAAAACTCGCTGTAGCACTGGTGGCATAGAGGGACTGAGGAACGCGCCATGCGGCGTAACGCACGTCTCGACCGGGCCGATCAAAGACATCGGCGGCTGGTGACACCCTCCTCCATCGGTCCGTCTGCGGCGCCGGGCCGGCGCGGTGACCGGTCGCGGCCCGCCGCCTCCCCTATCGCTCATCTGCTGTCAAGGCGTGACGGCTTCTCCGAGCCCACCAGCTAGCGGGACCAGGGTCACCGCGCTCCTCCGGGCCCCAGCGAAGGCGCGCCGCGCCCGGAGCAGCTCGCGACGGTCCGGGACGCGCCGAGCCCGGCCGGCCACCGCAGCTGGCCGCAGCCAATGGTCCGTGACCGGTACTGTGAAGCTGGTGAGTGATTGGAAATAAAGCGGGACATGGGCGGAGACTCATTCACGATGTCAGAGGAGATAAATTAAAAACCTTCTGATCACCGGCCGGGCCCAATTAGGACGGCAGTTGCGGAGATTAAGCCCGCGCGGCGTCACGTCTGCCGGCCGAGCGAGCGGCCAAATCACGTCAGCACCTCGCTCGAAAGAGCCCACGGCGCGCCCTCACAAGTCACTGCAGCGGGCGCACCTGGAGGCCGGGCGCGCCCACCTGCCGGCGACGGCCCCAGCAAGGCCGCGAGCTCACGCCGAGCCGGCCTCCGCACGGGCAACGACCAGCGCAACAAAAACAAGTCCACGGCTGCTGCAACCAGTTCCGAGCCGCCGTAACGACCCGGTCGGCCGCTCCCTGGGGTCCGGGGCCGTTTCATTTCGAGCGGCGTGCTTCTTGAGAGGTCGTGTCCCGGCGCGCGTGACCGGCGGCGTCGTTGGCCGCGAGGGGGCGCTCACGAGCCTGGCTGCCGGCCGGGCGGCGTGACCGCTGTGTGGACTGGCGGCGGTCCGGAGAGCGCGCCGCCGGCACCCGGCGCGTGCAGCGGCGACGGCCGGGCCGTTCACAAGTCGTTCGTCCGCGCCCGGACCCCCCGTGACGACCTCACCGAGTCACGGTCCCGCCGTCACCGTCGCCCAGCATGGAAATTTGATCACCAGGCAGTACTGGGACAAACAGCGCTGTGAACATTTGTATACAGCGTGGGGTACGTTGCATTAAAGGCGCTGCAGTTCATTTAGAGATATGACCGACATACGGCCTTGTGTAGCCATTTATGACTATGCTCGTGCTGCTCCCTGGCCCTGGAGTACAGAGCGTTTGTCATATTGGATGCAGTGAATGCAGTTCGTCCCGTCTCGTCACTTATGTAATACATATATAATACATCACTATGCAATACATAGCACTGGAAATGCGTACCTTCGTGAGGACCAAAGAACATGAATGAAAAATGCCAACTTTTCGCCGGCCCTTTCAAACGGCACTAAGTTTGCCACCAGGGAAGATGACGCGCTTGCATCAAACGTCGCTGCCGCCACTACACTCTGGGTGCACCCGTGTCTTTAAGATGGCCTGTCCCGCAAAACTGCCGACACTAAAATGCCAGACACTAAATTTCTTAGACAGGATCACATGACAAGTTTTCCCTTTGGTTGGTGTTGCGAATTTTAGCTATTTATTAAATAGTATTTCATTAGTATTATTAGATATAATACTAGTCTTATTAGTACAAAGTATTATTACATATATAATGCATATAATACATGTCATTATTATATAGTATTTCAGGATATTTTTGAACAGCTCACGCCCCTTGAGCGCTTTCCTAGGCGCGATTTCCAAAACCCATCAGCTGAGAGATCCGCTATCGCTGGCATGCACGGCATTCACGAAAACAAAGTCATTAGACAAGGAAGTAAATTAGTCTCAGCTGATCTCCCCCGGCAATAGCTGTCAACACACACACACTTAAATACATGGTTTCTCCACCTGGTCTGCCTCTCTCCGCCTTTAACATCGTCGCTCTCATTTTCTGACTGTATGCCTCTCCCTACTCAATGTTGACGTTCTAGTTAATAATTACGAGTCTACGCACAAGTGTTAATCTGACTTTCAGAGCGCATGTGCAGCGGCCTGTGGCTGGCCAGGGGAGCACCAGCTCCGCCAGCAGAAGCAGCAGCACCAGCTCTGCCAACACAACAGAACGCCGGTTCGAGTGAGCCAGGCCAGGTTAGGATTTTGTCGACCGCGGCAGCCCCGGCCGGCACGGTCAGCAGCTGAATGAGCACCGGCTCGGCCGAGTGCAGGACCCGGGCGAACGCAGGACCCGGGCGAACGCAGGACCAGGGCGAACGCAGACCCGGGCGAACGCAGGGATCGGACGAGCTCTGGACTCAGGCGAGAGCAGGGCTCGGGCGAGCGCAGGGCTCGGGCGAGCGCAGGGCTTGGGCGAGCGCAAAGCTCAGGCGAGCGCACAGCTCGGGCAAGCGCTCAGCTCGGGCGAGCGCAGGGCTCGGGCGAGCGCAGGGCTTGGGCGAGCGCAAAGCTCAGGCGAGCGCACAGCTCGGGCAAGCGCTCAGCTCGGGAGAGCGCAGGTCTCGGGCGAGCGCAGAGCTCGGAAGAGCTCACAGGCGACGACGGTGGCCTGACAGGCGCGGCGAGGCTGGATGGGGAGCGGCACCCCTCCAGGCCTTCGCACGGCTCTGGCGGTCTGAGCGCCGGCAGCGTACCGGCACCGTGACATCACACGCTCCCACGGGAACCCCCGGGCGCTCTGGCCCGGGCCATCGCCGGGGTCACTACCGGAGGTCACCGCCGGAGGTCACCGCCGGGGTCACCGCCGGGGTCACCGCCGGGTCACCACCAGACGGGCCGCCCAGCCGGAGATACCGACCAGGGCAGGGTCACGTCACGTCCGACTGTCGCCTCGCGCAGTGTCGCGCATCTCCGGACGTAACGGGTCGGCCGCGTCGCCGTCCGGCCCGCGCCTCTCGGCGGCCGGCGGCCTGTCCCGTTAGCTTGGCGGCGGCCGGGTCGGCAGGGTTGGCGGCCGGCGCACCGCAGGCGCACCGCCGGCGACCCGCCCTTCCAACTGGGGCAAGGACGGACGCCAGATGTCGAGTCCGCAGAGGCGAGGCCGCGCTCGGGGCACGCGCCGGTCACCCGGCCTCCGGCGGGCCGCCGTCGCCAGGGTGTTCCCGTGCCCGCTGCGCAGGGCCCTGTGCGCCACTGACGACGGGATGGACTTAACCAAATCGTAGGGCGGGCAGGACTGGAGCAGGTGGTGCGAGTCGCACGGGGCATACGGAGGCACGCGCAGAAGCTGACTGCACTCTACGTGGACAGGCGGAGGACTGTTCGGAGCTTGCTTCCCTTTTTATCGTCGGGACAGGGGCAAACTGCCACAAAGCACAGAAAGCTCACACTGACAAAGTTTGATCTCATGAATCAGTTAATGATGAA